CTGTCAAACGGGCTTTTGCGAGCAACTTTTTCGAACTTCTGCAACAACGGTTGCGCACCTGCCAGGGCCATCATCCCTGTCAAATAATACCATGCGGGACACATTCGTTTTTTCTTCGCGCGCGCACGCCGTCGTCGTCGGCCGCGGGGCCCTGAATAGTAGCCACGGTCGTCCGCATGCCACGAAGTGAAGTGTCCGAACGTCATAGGGCGGGAAGCTGGGTGTGGGTGGTGGCGAAGAGTCGTTTGGAAATTTGGTAGAGCTTGAACCGGCCCCCCCACAAAGTGGGGGTATTGCCCGCCTCCTATGAAAACCCTGGCACTGGTGAGAACGGAGTGTCCCCACGTGCTAGTAATTGTTGTTGTTGTTGTTGTTGTTGTTGTTGTCATTGTTGTTGTTGTCATCGTCCTCGCTCACGACCCACCCTCGACCCGACCGCGACCCACCCGCGACCCACCCCGCGCCCGCCCCCTCCCGCTTATCCGCACTTGCGGGGTGCTGTGAGTTGTGCTATGCGCCCCCCTTGGGAGGCGCACACCCGAACCGAGCACGCAGCAAAAACACCCTGCCGCCTCCCGTTACCCAGGCGGCGTGGCCGGAACGCGCCCGCCACACGGCACCTGCCAGATAGGACTTCTAAGCGCGAGCGCCGCCCCCTGGGGTGCCGACGCACCCATAGCATGCATGCTCTAGGTCGAGCATGTCCTCCTACAAGCGGAGTTCGGAAGAAAAGTTATATATAAAAAATACAAAAACACTAGAAATCGCCCCCCGACTAAAAACTTCCAACCCCCAAATGCCCAGCGGTCTGCTTGTCTCCGCCGGCGGTCTCCTGGATGGTGCCGGCCCTCGGGGGCCGCGATCGGGTCCCGGGGGCCATCCAAAAAACGGATCTGGCACGAATACTCTTAGGTCGAGCATGTCCTCCTTCAGGCGGTTGTTGGACGATAGATGAAAAGTTGTCAAAATCATGTTCAACTATAGTCCATACATAATCGAAAAATCGTCCCCGCACAATTTTTATATTACGTTTGCTAGCTCAACTGCATCTCTGCCAGGCCCAGCCGAAGGACACCTTGGGGATTCCCACAGGCCTGAGGCTAAGAGCTCGAATTTTCTCCTTCAGTGCGAGGAAGCGCGAGGCGGGTGGCAGCGGCCGCCCCGCCGGCGTCAAGGAGCAAAAAAACGGTCGACGATTCGTTGAAAGGCTGCCCACACCCGCAGGAGAGCCATGGCCACACGGCCGCATCACACATGGAATCGATCACACAGGACGGAGGCTCGAGCGAGATTTGCAGCAGCGATAAGAACTGATGCAGGCCCTCGGCAAAGCGGAGCAGGACAAGGACAGGCAATCGAAGTCCAATGGCGGTTACTGGTAGGCCCCCTCCCTGCTTGTTCGAGGCGCGGGCAGCCTGCGCGCGAACATCTACCCTGGACGGGCTGACAGCGGCGGGCCAGTCTCTCAAACTCTGCACCAACATGCCAGAAGGCGATCCTGGTTCGCTTGCGCCAGGGCATGCCAAACTGGCAATAGTCAAGTACGATCTGCTTGCAAGACGCATGCGAGAGCAACTTCTTAAAAGCTAGAACTTGCCACAGAACAGAGGTGGAAGGCTTCTCAATGGCGACGGGACACTTGCACTGGATGCAAAGGCGAACTATCTTCAGAGGGAAGTCGAGAAGCTGGTTGCCAACGTTCACTGCCGCCGCATCTTCGGAGGAGAGGCCGGAGAGGCCAAGAGAAAAGGAGGAAGAGCGCAGCGGGGGGCGACGGGCGGCAGAGAAGGCAGTGCAAGGGGTGGCCAGCAAAACAGCACACACTGCTCTCGCCGAGATCCAGCCGCGAATGCGTCGAGCGAACGCAGGGCAAAAATGGCTGCGTGCTGAACAATGTCTAAGCCCAGAGCATTGCGGCCTCGCTTTCTCAGTTGACGAGTCAAACGGGCGCTGCCACAAAAGATTTCGAAAAACACAGAGCGGCGATAATCTAAGCCGCATTGAACGGCACGATGGAAGACTTGGGCAAGGTGGAGCTCAGTGTCATCGGGGCGGGCCGTCAGCGCAGTGCGTGGCTCGCGCGGTGCGGCAAGTGCTGCAGGTCGGTCGTGACCTGGGGCCGCACTCCGCTGCCCGCCAGGCCCTTCTCCCCCGCTGAGAACGTCCGTGGCGAGGCGCAGGAAGCTGCGACGAGCTTCAAAGCCGCGCTGACAGGCACCAGCAGGTCGTCCAGGCCCAGAAGGACTGACTCGTCCCAAATTCTCGTCTTGCCAAAATGGCCCGACACGGCGTCGGCTAGCGGCAAGCCCCGACGATGGACCTGAGGCCCCGCAGCGGGGTTGCTGGTCACAACCAGGCGCCCGGGCGGCCAGAAGCTCACTCTCGGCCTGAGGTGGCGCGTGAAGCGTGTCCTCGTCCTCCTCCTCCTCCTCCTCCTCCTCTTCCTCCTCCTCCTCCTCCTCCTCCTCCTCCTCCCCGTCCTCCTCCTCCTCCTCCTCCACCTCCTCCTCCTCTCCCTCCTCCTCCTCGACGCCTCCTCCTCCTCCTCCTCCTCCTCCTCCTCCTCCTCCCTCCTCCTCCTCCTCCGTCTCCTCGTCCCTATGTTCTTTCTCCTTCTCGTCCTCCTCCTCCTCCTCTCCTCCTCCTCCTTCTTCTCGCTCTACGAAACCTCCTCCTCCTCCTCCTCCTCCCCTCCTCCTCCTCCTCCTCCTCCTCCTCCTCCTCCTCCTCCTCCTCCTCCTCCTCCTCCTCATCCCCCTCCACATCCCCCTCCTCCTCTTCTTCCCCTCCTCCTCCTCCTCCTTCCTCCTCCGCCCCTCCTCCTCCTCCTCCGCCTCTCCTCGTCCTATTTCCTCTCCTCCTCCCCCTCCTCCCTCCTACTCCTACCTCCTCCTCCCCTCCTCCTCCTCCTGCTCCCTGCGTACCCTCCTCTACCTCCTCTAGCTCCTCTACCTCCACCTCCTCCTCCTCCTCCTCCTCCTCCTCCTCCTCCTCCTCCTCCTCCTCTCTCCAGCCCCTCCTCCTCCCCTCCCCTCCTCCTCCTCCTCCTCCTCCTCCTCCTCCTCCTCCCAAATCCACTTTCCCCTCCTCCTCCTCCTCCTCCACCTCTTCGCCTCATCCTCCTCCTCCGCCGCCTCTCCTCCTCCTCTCCCCCCGCCTCCTCCTCCAGCCTCCTCCTCCTCATCATCATCATCCATCATCATCATCATCATCATCAGCATCATCATCACCATCATCATCATCATCATCATCATCTTCATCATCATCAGCATCATCATCAATCAGCATCATAATCAATCCATCAAATCATCTCATCTTCAACATCATCATCATCATCAATCAATCAATAAATCAATCAATCAATCAATCAATCATCATCATCATCATCATCATCATCATCATCATCATCATCATCATCATCATCATCATCATCATCATCATCATCATCATCATGATCATCATCATCATCATCATCATCATGATCATCATCATCATCAACATCATCATCAGCATCATCATCATCAGCATCCGCATCATCATCATCATCACCATCATCATCATCATCATCATCATCATCATCATCATCATCAGCATCAGCATCATCCTCATCATGAGCAGCAGCAGCATCATCACCATCATGATCAGCACCATCATCATCATCATCATCAGCATCATCAGCATCATCATGATCGTCATCAACATCATCATCACCACCACCATCATCATCTTCATCATCAGCAGCAGCAGCATCATCAGCATCATCCGCATCATCAGCATCATCATCATCATCAGCAGCATCAACATCATCAGGATTATCATCATCAAAATCAACAGCATCATCATCATCATCAGCAGCAGCATCACCATCGTCGTCATCATCATCATCATCAGCCGCAGCATCATCATCAGCATCGCCATCCGCAGCATCATCATCGCAATCATCAGCAGCATGATCATGATCATCATCAGCGTCATCGTCATCATCATCATCATCATCATCATCATCAGCGTCATCATCAGCATCCTCAGCATCATCCTCATCAGCATCAGCATCAGCATCATCATCATCATCATCAACAGCAGCAGCAGCATCATCTTCCCCCTAATCCTCCTCCCCCTCCTCCTCCTCCTCTTCCTCCTCCTCATCCTCCTCCTCCTCCTCCTCCTCCCCCTCCTCCTCCTCATCATCATCACCATCCCCATCCACATCCCCCTCCTCCTACTCCTCCTCTTTTGACTGGGGGGCACTTGGGGATGGGCCTCAGGACCGCACATCACCTTGGCCAAGAAGGGATCAATCCTGCCCCCGCACGGGCTTCCCCGTGTACGGATTCTTACCGTCCAGGATTCGATCACGATAGAGCTTCCGCCACCGATGGGCGGCAATGCCCTTCGTCAGAGGGCCCTCGCATTCCCGCAACAACTTCTGGGCTCGGGAACGGGCGAAAGCCCCACAAATTCGGCACACTGCATAACCCACCTTCTCAACCACATCGTGTTCCCGAGGCGGGGGCAGGGGTGAGACGCGGGACCCAGACCCCCTCACCTCCGCAGCCCTCTCAGCCGCAGCGGCACGGATCTGGTCCGTCACACACTCACCATGGATCAGGGCCTTGACTTTCAAACGGGCCCTGCCTTTTGAAATGGCTCCCCCCCATCCAGGGCACAACTCCCGCTTGGCCATACTGAGACGAGAGGCCACACGGACGAGGCGAGAGCACTCCAGGCATTGCCATCGACCACCTTCTAGGAGCCTAAGACGGTGGGCCCGCTCAGGCGCGACTGCCAAAGGGCGGGCAGAACGTTCGCTCCTCCGAGTCCGACCAGCAAAAGGCGGCAGGCTCGTGGTGGTAGCTTTGGCTTCACTAAGATCCACACGGAAGGAGGCTGCATACTGTAACAGCCTCTTCTGAAATTTGAGACACTGCTGAACCTGTTCCACCTTCCACTTTGGGGCGGCATAGGGGTCAGCCCCCTGTCTTGCACGAGCGTCCGCGCACCTATTCATATCAAAGTGCACAAGATTCTCACCAGAAAGACAGGCCCAGTGGGCCTTCGTCATGTGAGACTTTATCTTGACTACTTGAAGGGACTCTCCTGGGATGAGACACTGATCCTCCAGGGCGTCCCAAACAAGCTTCCAAAGGTGCGCGGTCATCTGCTCGCTACTCACACAAAATTCGCGACCAGCCAAGAGCCCCTGAACGACCTGCTTACTATCAATCAGGAGCCCTACGAGCCCTACAGAGTGCTTTATGGCCTGGTACACTGCCCAGATCTCACAGTGGGCCGACGTGGGCCTCGCAACTGGAACAGCTCCGAACAAAGACTGAACCTCACTTTTCTTTTCCGCGCACCAGGTGATGGCGGCGAAGCCTCCCGTGGAGACCTCCTCCACGTCAGGGGCCAGGACGCACCCGTCCGTGGCCACCCAGCCCGACAGGACCATCTCCCCGTCGGGGTCGCCCCACTGGTACTCGTCGGGCGGCGTGGGCACCTGGTAGTCGGCCACGGGGTCCGCGATCAGACCGCGAGCCCACTTCCAGAAGAGCGTGTCGCCGCCCCTGCAGCCCTGCTCCTCCTTCGTGGCGGCCGCCCCGCCCAAATGCACCACGTCCCGAAAACTGCGCTTGAGCGTCGGCTCCGTGAGTCCATCACGAATCGTGACGCACACATCTGCATCACAGAGAAAATACACATGCATCAAGGTGCCCTTCTTCTTGCCGCACAGTGGGCACAGTGGGCTCGTGACCTGGCCGCGCTCGTAGCACACGGTCTGAACAGGGTAGCCCCCTAACGCGACCGCCCTGGCACTGTTGATGTGGTGCCTTGTCCAAATCCCCGTGGGCTTGGAACGCATGAGCTGCTTGACTGGCAAGAGGAAGGGAGCGGGTCGGAGCGGCTGGCGTTCCTCATCCGCGAGCGCCCAATCCATGAGCTTCTTCTTTGCGATCGTCCTCTCTGCCGACCGCAAGATTTCGAGGGGGGCGACCTCGCGGATGTCCCACTTGCAGTGCACGCCGTCGAGGATGGTCCAAGCGTCCTTCATGTGCCAACCCAGCTCGTACACCGTCAGTATGGTGGCTGCGGCTGGCCCCCTCACCATCTTCCAGGCGTCGAACTTGGCGGGGGCATAGGTGAGGGCACGCTGCACCTTGGGCCATTGACGGCCCCACGCGTGTGCCATCTCCTTCCGTCTCTCGGGCTGACCCCAGGCCTCGCGTGCCCATGCCCTAAGCGGGGCGAGCCTGAGCTGCTCGGCGCCGTCAGTCCTCGGCGCGATCGCCCAGCCCAACGTGCACGAACGAAAGGTCCCAGCCCCCGCACGCACAGCAGCTGTCTTGGCCGTGACGAACTTGAGAACGGCAGGAGGCGTGCCAGCGCAGGTCGCCCCATACGCAACTGACGCTTTGAGGCCTTGCTGCACCACAGGGCGTATCCTCACCCCTCGTCGCTTGAGGGCCGCCGCCTTGTGCCAGCGTCCTCGAACAGTCTTAAACCGTCTGGCTCTGGTGGCCTTCTTCCGAGGGCCCTGGGGTTGGTAGTCCACGCCCAGCCATCGCTCGCCCTCGCCGTGCTGAAGGCCAATGTCCGCCATGGGCTGAGCCAGCTCCTGCGCCAATGAGACGTCGCTGGAGACGAACTTCGACTTCCCCCCCTCGCCCTTCGAGACCTTGGGCTGCAGCAACGACTCCAGGAGGTGGATGAGGGTGCGGGCCAGGTCGGGGAAGATCACCTTCAGCTGTGTACTCCTGCCCACCATCCGCAAGGCTAGGTCGTCCACAAACTTGGTGATCTCCAGCTTAGCACCTGGCCATCGGGCCACGACGTCCAGTATCGGATACAACACAATCTTCAGGAAGCGGTTGGCAGACTTCGACCCAGCGGGCAGCCCCACGTAGGTGCATATGGCGTCGGCAACGGCTTGGCCCTTACGTACCGCCCGAGGGAAAGTGCACGACTCCAGTGAGAGGGCCAAGACACCCATGGGTGCTTGCTGCACCAAACCGAGAATCCAAATCAGATTTAGCGCAACATATTCGCACGCCTTCTCCAAATCCATCAAAGCGGTGAGTGACGCAAAACAGGTACCTTCCAGGGCCTCGTCGTCCAGCATCGCTCTCCAAACCGCATGCTCACTGCTGCGCCCTGGTGATGCCCAGTCGTAGGGCCTCACGTGTGCCCGCTCCCATCGCCGAACCAAAGGATCACGAACGGCCTCCCAGATGCGTACTGGCGTGGGAAAGAGGGTGATGGGCCTGCCGCCTCCGTCCTCCTTGGCGACCAGGAAAAGTATAAGCATGCGCATGGCCGTGGGCCACGAGCAGAGCCGCTCACACAACATGAGGATGTCCCCGAGGCTGGTCAAGGCCCCGTCACTGAGCCAGGCCAGGTGCCCGAAGTGCCAGCCGTCAAGCCCAAGCCCCGTCTTCCACTTGTAGCTGCGGCAAATTGCGCGCACCTGCACCGCGTCGATGATGGGCAGCTCCTGCACGTGGGCCATCCGCTGGGCCTGGACCTGGGCGTCCTGCCACAACTTGGTGTAGTCACCTGACACCGCGCGCCAAATGCCAGCCCACTCCTGCGCCTCCTGGTTGACCGCGAGCTGCGGATCCGATGGTAGCTTCCGCTTCTTGGCCGACGAGATGGGCTCCTTTCCACGCCTGCTTCCAGTGGCAGATGCGGTGCAGGTACCCCCCCGAGCCAGGGAACTTCGCACTCAGGCGCTCGTAGAATCGCTTGGACCGCTGCCGCATGAGGTGTTGTTCCCAGGTCTGGGCCCTCACCTTGGCGAACTGCTGCAGCGCGAAGATGGCCTGCGCGCCCATGAAGTGGGGCTCCACGTCGGAGAGGATGCGCAGCGTGGGCAAGAACCCCGCGCTCCAAGGCTCCATCTGGTCCCAGTGGTGCCTCGCCTGGAACAGCTTCCTCCAAGCCCGTCTGAGCTGGCCCTTTACCTCCTCGTTGTAGGATCGAGGAGGCCCTTCTCCCGAGGTGGTGTTCTGGCCTGCAAAGGCCTCCGCCTTGGCCATGGGCACAGACTGGCCCCGCAAGACACAGCAGACAAGTTGGCCAATCCAGGCCAGTTCTCCCGCGGCCCAGCGCCAGGCCCTGGCAGGACCTCGGTCGGCCACTGGGCTGTCATGCTTCGGAAGAAGCTGTCTCTGCACCACCTCGGGAGTCAAGCCTCGGCCTTCATACCTGCGTGCCTCCAACTCCGTCCAACCGAACAGAGATCGAAGCTCGGCCTCGGCTGCAGAGCAGAACCCCCTCCAGCACTGGTCCAGGTGCTGCTGGGCGCCGTGGAGCAGGTCGATCTTGGGGTAGCCCTGCTGGATTCCGGGCTGCCTGACTGGCGGCGGCCTGGTGATGGGGTACTGCTTGGGGCCCTTGGGAACCTGTATCTGGTACGCGTGCCAAGGCTTGTCGGCGCGGATCCAAGTCGGC